CTGAGGCCCTGGGTTCGATTCCTCAGTACCACATAAGCAAAAAGAAAAAGCTGGAAGTGGCGCTGTGGCTCAAGTGGTAGAGCGCTAGCCTTGAGTTGAAGAGCTGAGGGACAGTGCCCACGCCCAGAGTTCAGGCCCCATGACTGGACCCCCAAAAAAAAAAAGAGGCTGAGATCTGAGGATTGCTGTTTGGAGCCAGCCCGGACAATAGTCTGTGAGACTCTTATTTCCAATTAACCACTCAAAAGTGTAAGTGGAGCTGTGGGTCAATGTGGTAGAATGATAGCTTTAAGTAAAAGAGCTCAAGGACAGTGTCCAGGCCCTGAGTTCAAGCCCTACAACCAAAATAAAAATAAGAATACTGCTTCACAAAAATTTGCGGTTCCCCAAAAAGTTGATGTCACAGTATGCAATATTTATAAGCTGCATTTATTAATATCACCACCTTTTTAACTATTGAGAAGCTGTCAAGCTCATAGTGATAAGATACAACCTTCTCAGAATTCAAATTTTCCATTGGAATCTCAGTTTTTATCATTGATAGCAAGTACTGCCCATGGTTTTCCTGCTTATTTTGTTCATTTTTGCAAAAGTGTCTGTGAAGTACCCACATCAAAATACTATAGTTTGGTCGCCATTCTTTCAAGTTCAAGTGTTCAGTGAGGCTTAGGATGTGCTTCAAGTGGTAGAGCACCTGGTTAGTAAGTTCAAACCCCAGTACCACTAACAAAAAGTGGCCTTGGCTGGGGTTGTAGGTCAGCAGTAGAGTGCTTGCCTTTCCTGGCATGTGTGAGGGCCTGCTTTCCATGCCCAGCCCTGCAAAATGGAAAGAAAAATTGGCTGGTAAACAAATGGCAACTCAGCCATACAAGTACTCTCCTTTCCTCAAGACAATTATTATACTTCAAAATCACAGAAGTGCTTACGGCCCATCCCTCTTTGTCAGGTGGTTCATTAAAGGATGAAGTTTTGATGGCGTGAATGGTTTGTATTGCTTTATCAAGGACATTCTTCAGAGAAACAAACGCTATTCTCTTACCATTTGTGCATGGTGAACAGTTAGCATGGGTACCATGCCTGCCCATGGCCTTGTCACTGGTGCCAAATAAGGCACGTTTGCACAAATACTAGCAGGAGCTGGTGGAGCTGATAGTGAAGACCAATACCACTTGAATATCCTTAGGAAAATGATTTGGCCTCACCATCATCCTGGTGGTCCTGGGGATCCTGGAGGGCCACAGACAACCCTTGGTCAGTGGTGTGCTGCGCATGTCAAGCACCTTGATGATGTTCTGGCTCATTTTCATGCTTTCAATAGCTCAAGAAGCTTTTCCACACAGCTCTGCTATTCTGCACCATTTTAAGAGGCTAAAACAAAGTCTAATGAAATTTGGTAGCAAAATTTTGCTGCATAAACATTTGCTGTTACATTTTTATTTTTATATTTTTTTGCTGGTCCTGGAGTTTGAACTCAGGGTCTGGGCACTGCCCCTGAGCTTCTTTTGCTTAAAGTTAATGCTCTACCACTTGAGCCACAGTGCTCCTTCTTTTCGGGTGCTGGTGGCTCACGCCTGTAATCCTAGTTACTCAGGAGGCTGAGATCAGAGGATCATGGTTCAAAGGGGGAGGGGGAGAGGAAAGGCCGGGAGACTCCGTCACCAGCTCCCGCACTGCTTCTCCTTTCCTTTTTTTTTTTTTTTTCCACTAAAAATATATGACATGAAATTTGGGGAATCCAGAAAATTATGTTGTAAAACTTTCTTTTCTTTAAAGGTAAATCTCACCTGGCCATTGTGCAGCGGGTAAACAATGAAGGAGAAGGAGACCCATTTTATGAAGTTCTGGGAATTGTCACCTTAGAAGATGTGATTGAAGAAATCATCAAATCTGAGATCCTAGATGAAACAGATTTATACAGTGAGTAGTGTTGTCTGTATCATTTCCTCAGACCTTCGCTTTTCCCATCGTGATTGTTTCGAGTCATCTGACATTTCTCCCCTTGTTGGATACCTTTGTTTACAAGTATCATGACAGGTGGAGGCTGGTATAGTCTCCCGTCTCTTCCAGCCTCTTCATCAAGGGCACCAAAGAGGCCAGTTCTGTGACTTCAAGTGACAGTATTCTTTTGACAATCCTGCTGCTCATATCTCTGCTTATTCCTAGTCTGAATCATGGAACTTCTGCTCTTACATTGCACTGTGCCAATTTGTTCTTTAATTTCTTTCTTTCTTTCTTTTTATGCTGATACTGGGACTTGACCTCAGGTCCTCTTTCTCTTACCTGGCTTTTGGGCTCAAGGCTGGAACTCTACCACTTGAACCTCACCTCCACTTCTGGCTATTTGCTGGTTAGTTGGAGATAATAGTCTTATAGATTTTCCTGATTGAGCTGGTTCAGATCTAAGTCCTCAGATCTCAGCCTCCTGGGTCATGGTGCCTGGTTAGGTTTCAGGTACATTCTTTTTTTTTTTTTTGGTTAGTCATGGGGCTTAAACTCTGGGCCTAAGCGCTGTCCCTCAGCTCTTCAGCTCAAGGTTAGCGTTCTACCACTTGAGCCACAGCACTACTTCCAGTATTCTGGTGATTAATTGGAGATAAGAGTCTCATAGCCTATCCTGCCCCAGCTGGCTTTGAACCACAATCCTTAGAGCTCAGCCTTCTGAGCAGCTAAGATTACAGGCATGAGCCACCAGCACCTGGCTAGGTATATTCTTGATCTCAATAGATCAGTAATGATGATGACAGCTGCTACCCTTAGAAAGCTATTTTTGTTTTGTATTGATTCACACTGGCTGATTCTCCAAATAATTTGAGACAGAAGTAAAATGTAAGGCAATGATTATTTTCTCCCTAGAACAGTCTGAAAATTTGTTTTTCCCTGGCAAAAATTTAAAGTGCAGGGATATGATTCTTGAGGAAAAAGAAGGCAATGGGGTCTTATCTTTAAACTAGTATTTTTCCCCCAGATCATTACTTTATCCCCCCAAATACTTGAAAAAATGATTTTGCTTGAGATACCATCTAGATTTGGGTTGGTATGCAACAACCCACAAGTGTCTACCAAATGATTTTGTATGCTCTGAAAGCTAAGAATGGCTTTTCTATTTTTAAATTATTGGGGGGGAAATCAAAAGAAGAAGAATTTACTTTGTGACATGTAGACAGTAAGTGGAATTCCAATTTTCATGTCCATGTGTAAAGTTTCAGTGTACTCATTCATTTATACTATCTGCTCTTTCTAAAAGGGAAGTGGAGTTCTTGCAATCGAAACTCTAGCCCACAGAGCCTAAAATATTTACTCTCTGGCCCTTTCCCCAGGAAATTTGCTCACCCCTGTAAGTCGATCACTCTCTCTGTGTTTGCTTGACCTTGAGGATCTCATGGTCTGGAGTAGAAATGAAGCAAACATGATGAAGATAGTATTCTGTGAATGCATTCTTATTTGTTTTGTGAGGGGTCTTGTTAGTGTGTTTATTTCCTTACAGCTGAGACTGTGGGGGTTGTTAAAGGCAGAGACAACTGCCTGCCGGGGCAGCCCCGTGTTGTGACATGGAGTGAGGAGACCACGCACGTGTGCGCTTTAGGCCCACCCAGTCTGCTGTAGGTTCCATGGGGGCTTCTGTCCACTTCCCTCTTCCCATTTACATGTGGCATCTGAGACAGCTCCCACCCCCTTTCCAGTGGATTTCAGCTCTTCTATCCCCAAAGAGCCCTGATCTAATGGATTGTGTTTTCTTACTTTCCCATTCCTCTTCAGCTGATAATAGAACGAAAAAGAAAGTGGCTCATCGTGAAAGAAAACAGGATTTTTCTGCCTTTAAGCAGACAGACAGTGAGATGAAGGTTAAAATATCACCGCAGCTTCTCCTGGCCATGCATCGTTTCCTAGCAACAGGCAAGTGTGCTTATCGCAGCTGGAGATCACCGCCAGCCCTGAGCCTTTCCTCACCGCTGCTGACTGGGGGGGCTGGGGATGGAGACTGGGAAATGGGGTAATAAGTAATGCCACTTTTGTGTTTTGTTTTTGTTTTCTTTTGTTTTGTTCTCTTTAAATTCTCTCCTCTCCTGTGTTCAGTGTCGGCATGGTCCCTCTGAGACACTTACCAGAGGTGGAGCAGTAACTTAAAATTGGTCTGAAGGTAAGGATGAATGTTAGTGCCACACTGCATGTGCACATAGGCCAGGTCATCTCCTTCCAGCTAAGGAGCTCCACGCCCTCCCTGGGAGGGCAGCTGGCGGAGTAGGCTGACAGGCACACCAGACACCACCTCGTTTGATTGGACAGTTGAGTAATTCTCTCTTCAGCTTGCCTTGGAAGAACACTTGGACATCAGTGGTCACACAGGCGCTATGATTTGCAAAGAAGATTAAAAACAAACAAAAGTAGATTTTGAGAATTAAATCCTTAACTCTTATGGCTTTGATGAAATGAGAGATTCTAAGGACTTTGACATGGATTTCATGGTGGCCTCTTCAGATCAGATTACTAACTTGGGTCCATTCCAGGAGGCAAATGTTCACATTATTTAAAGCCACCAGGCCAGCCGGCACTGACTGCTCCCGAGAGGTCAAGGTTGAATGGATTTAAGAGACTGACTAAACCCTCTCACATCCCACATGGCCTTGTAGGTGAAGGGTGAGCTCTGATGGCCAGGGGAAGTGTGAAAAAAATCTGAAAGTACCCAAAGGCTTTTGTAGAAGACGTCTGTTTCCAGGATGGTCAGCCATTACCTGTCAACTGTATGCAGTGTACTTACAGTATTTTGCAAAGAAGGCTAACAGCGATCACGTGACCGGATGTTACCTACGCTTTCAGAACACAGTTTCTGAGACATGGAAATGCTCACAGTTAATATTTGTGCCATGGCAAAGTATCCATGACTTAGTGGAAAGTGGGGGAAAGCCAGATGTAAAAGCGTTAAGATTATAGTGACGATTGTGTGTGTCATGCACACACATGCACACAGACACACAAGCCTGGGCAAAGCACTGGAAAGAAATACTCACCAAATTGTTCCGAATGGTTATCCAAGTGGTTGGCTCATAGATCATTTTTTATTTTCTTTATATTTTCTGTATTTTCCAAAATTTCTGCAATGTACTGTCTTATTTCATTATTGGAAAAAGTCACAGAAGTGAATGCAGAATTTATAGCTTCCTATAGAGCATCACATTTTTTTTAAAAAATAAAAAAAGTGATACCTGTAACTTGCTTATTATTCTTTTCCTAATTCTGAGATGATTGTTCCTCATCAAGGAAGAACCACACATTAAACCTGAATGTTATCCTACTCTGCCTCTGAGCAATCATAAAGTCCACTTCTCCAATAGCACCCTCAGTCCGTAATCTTGATTTTTTTGTTATTTTCAATAAAGTTACTACCATTGTAAATGCTGACCAACATTCCATTTTTGTTGGCAAGTTGGAGTGCATGTTGATGTGTGCACGGCCTTGCTTTTATTCCACATCTCTCCCTCAGTGGTTCCTGGACTTTGTCAGGCTAGCGGAGAACGAGAGGCGTCTGCACCGGTACTAACCCACCATCAGCGCTTCCACCGTGGCTTCCTCCCTTGCCTGTTGTTGGGCAGCCAGGCTGTGGTGGCTTGTTGGAGGGTGTCCTGGCGCTCAAGGACCCTGTTGCTGGTTGGTTTCCATTTCCATCCGTTGGAAACGTAGAGCACACTTTTATGAGACTGATGCCAATGACAGGTTGAAATGATTTTTTAAAAAGGAACAAATGCAAGCATTCAGCATTTTCTGGTTTCTCCAGGTAATCTGTCCCCAGTGGATCAGCACATGGAAGTCTCGTGCACCCAGGTTCTATTCATATGACCCGAATACCTTAATAACTAGCATGATTTTTTTCCATCCGTTTGAAGTGTAATGTCAAGTTGTGTTTATGTCTATAGAAGTAGAAGCATTTAGCCCATCCCAGATGTCAGAGAAGATCCTTCTAAGGCTGCTAAAGCACCCCAATGTCATCCAGGAACTGAAGTATGATGAGAAGAACAAGAAAGCCCCAGAGTACTACCTCTACCAGCGAAACAAACCTGTAGACTACTTCGTTCTCATTCTGCAGGTCAGAGGAATTATTCAACCGTTGTCTTTTCAGCTCAGAGAAGGCCTGGTGTAGGTGAATGGGCCTTAGCTTGCCTTATAAGGGGAGAATTTTCTCTCTCTGTTTTCATAGTGGTGACTCGATTATAAAATGATGTCATTAATTATTTTGATTTCTAATACTGAAAGCTGCACAGTGATGGCGGAGGGCTGCGCCCATGCGAGAATGATGAATGTGGTTGTTCACATTTTTGAAGAATTTGGGGAGGTGCTTATTCTTGTCCAGTTGTGGGTGTTTGAAATTTATTGTCTTAGGTTTCTGGGTCCTTTCTGTATCATTTTTGTTCCCATCCCTCATTAGGACTCTTCCATTAGCACCATTCTTAGTATTAACATAGCACTCACTGTCATGTTTATTCCTGGTTACTAATTAGACCTTGAAGAGGAACTGATAAAGTAATGACAGGACCTTGAGAAGCTAGCAGATGATTTCTTCTCACTAAAGTGATGTAATCCCATGCCCGGGACCGGAAGGTCATTCATTGTGGACCCTCTCTGGGGCTTTCCACTTGAGACCTTATATCACCTTGAAATACATTTATTTTGGTCAGTCATGGGGCTTGAACTTGGATCCTGGGTGCTGTTCCTTTGGCTCAAGACTAGTGCTCTACCACTTTGAGCCACAGCTCCACTTTCAGTTTTCTGGTGGTTAATTGGAAATAAGACTCTTGTCTGTCTTGCCTGGGCTGGCTTTGAACTGCAGTCGTCAGGTCTCAGCTTCCTGAGCAGCTAGGATTGCAGGCCACCAGCGCCCAGCTCGCTTTGATAAATTAACAGGTGCTACCGTCAGATCAACAGAGGCATTACAATGAAGGTAATCCTGCTCTCAGATACTTCTTGTACTTCTTTATTGAGGAATTGCTTTTTCAGGAAATCTGAGTTTATATTACTACCAGAATACTAGCTCTTAAACTTTCTCATATTTCTTGTTTACTCCTAAGTGGAGGTATCATTTCAAGAGTATAATTAGTAGTTGGTAGGCCCTAAAATTTACGTGAGTCTAGCAAAACCCTAGTTATCTAACTGAATTAAGAAAGTTATTCTTATTTGAAAATGACTAGCTGAGGGTGGTGGCTCACACCTGTAATCCCAGCTATTTAGGAGATAGAGATCAGGAGAATTACAGTTCAAGGTTAGCCCAGGCAAAGTGTTAGCCAAATCCCCATCTCAGCCAATGTCAGGACAAGATTGTGCTTGCTGCCATCCCAGCTAAACATGAAGAATAAAGAGGAGGATTAAGGTCCAGGCCAGCCCAAACAAAAAATACCAGGATGTTATTAAAAAAAAATAAAGCTCTAGGTGCCAGTGGCTCTCACCTGTGATCCTAGTTCCTCAGGAGGCTGAGATCTGAGGATTGCAGTTCAAAGCCAGTCCAGGTAGGAAAGTCCATGAGACTTTAATCTCCAATTAACTACCAAAAACCTGAAAAGGCCAGAAGTGGGGCTATGTCCCAAGTGGTAAAGTGCTAGCCTTGAACAAAAAGCTCAGGGACAGTGCCCAGGCCCTGAGTTCAAGTACCAAGGCCAGCACAAAAGAAATGAAAAGAAACAGAACGAAAGAAAGGAAAGGAAGGAAACAGGCAAGCAAGCAAAAAGGACTATTGTATGACTCAAATAGTAGAGTGCCTGCCTAGCAAGCAAGCACAAGGCCCCAAGTTCCAACCCCAGTACCAAGGAAAGAAAGAACATCATTCTTCTCAGGTGTGAATGTTCAGGTACTGACAGGTTTGCATTCTTGTAGGACCTGTGTGTGTGTGTGTGTGTGTGTGTGTGTGGTATTCATGTGTCTGGAAATGAGTGAAGGTATAACTGATCATATCATCCCACTTGCTTATAGGTTTCTTAGAGACTTCTGTCTCTAGCCTTACTAATCACAACCTTACTATGATTCTTCTATTAACTCTAGTCTTGTTTGATAGCTTTGTTTTCTTTGAAAATATATAAGCTCAAAACTCTGAAGATACCAAAGGGAGTTTATTTTATTGTTTGAAATGAGGGATTTGTAAGAGAGCTGAATGTGACTCTTCTGTAAGCGTAGAGAAACTGAATTACATTAAAGACTTTCTTAGGAATTGTGTGGACTGAGATTGTTGAATTACTGGGCTGTTGGTGTGGCGCAGATGGTTAGGCATGGCCTAGCGAGCTCAAGGCCCTAAGTTCAAACCCTTGTACTGTTCCCTCCAAGAGAAAGAAAGGAAGAAGGAAAGAGAGAAAGAGAAAGGAAGGGAAGTAAGGAAGGAAAGAATGAAGGAAGGAAGGAAAACAAAGAAAGAAAGAAAAGAAGAGAGAGAGAAGACTTCAGTTGCCTGTGTTATATGATTAGTGGTATTTAATTGTGACTCAGTAATGCTCTATTGGCATATAATAAGAAAGCCATGGGTCTTAAAATAAACATTAGAGAATAGGGACCTTATATGTCCTCCAATTTCAAGACAGTCTTTTAACTACAGATACTTTTTGATGTCATTTGTAACTGTGTAACTCTATCTGAAGACCTTTTCATGTTAGATAGTTATATCAGGGTCCATAGTTTGTTGAGCTGATGTGTGGGAGTTTTATAGTGTGTGTGTCTGATAAACAGGCCTGTGGAGGTATTGAAATGCTGGAGTTTGGCAAAAGTCATGTTCTTGCAGACTAGCCAATTACCCAAGGTACCCAGCGAATAACAGAGTGAAATACCATGACACCTCCATCAATCTGGTGCAGTTCTCATCATGTGCCAAGTACATTCCACCCTACAGTTTTGCACTGCAACCCTGGGAATTCAGACAGGCTGTACAGCCTGCTTCCATCCCTTCAGGAGCGTGGAGTCAGCAGTCCCTGCCCTCCCTGCCCAGCCTCAGCCTCAGTGCAGCAAAACTCCTTACCTAGCTGATCTTGGGTAGAGAAGTGTGTGTGTGTGTGTGTGTGTGTGTGTGTGTGTGTGTGTGTGTGTGAATTGTGCCAGTACTGGGGCCTCAAGCTCTTGCTCACCTTTTTCACTCAAGGCTGGCATTTTATCACATCTTTACTTCAGGCTTTTTACTCATTAATTTGGAATAAAGTCTTTTAGACTTCTCTGCTCAGGTTGGTTTTGAACCTCTGTCCTTCTGATCTTAGTCTCCTGGGTAGCTAGGATCACAGGTCCCAGCACCAGTGCCCAACTTCAAAATGTATCTTTTAAAGTGAAATAAACATGGTCAATGAAAACAGCACAATAAATCATGACAAAAATTGGTTCTACATGTCTTACGTGTATGTGTATGTGTGTGTAGAAATTGAAAGGAATATATATATATATATATATATATATAAAGGAATATATATATATATAATTTTGTTAGAATTATTTTTCCACCATCATAAGAAAAGACCAAGAAAAATTATACAATGGTTTTAAATTGTATAAAGCCAAAGAAATCCCTTTTAAAAAATTATTAAATGGCTCCTAAAAATTAGGCACTTAGGGCTGGGAAGGTGGCTCAGTGGTAGAGTGCTTGCCTTGCATGCATGAGGCCCTGGGTTCCATTCCTCAGCACCACATAAGCAGAAAAAGCCAGAAGTGGCACTGTGGCTCAAATGGTAGAGCACTAGCCTTGAGCTGAAGAGCTGAGGGACAGCGCCCAGGCGCAGAGTTCAGGCCCCATGACTGGCAAAAAAAAAAAAAAAAAAATTAGGCACTTACATTTTATCCCAGTGTATATTCTAGTGATAGAAAAAGAGAAATGTCATCAATCCCTGCATAGATATTAAGGAAACTAAATCAGGAATAAAGAGTAGATGATTAAAAAAATCACTAAGCTAGATTAAAATTGTGATAACCTCTCTTCCTCAGGTTTTTATGTAACGTACAGAACTTTGCATATAATATGTTCTCTTTTGTGTGAAAGAAAAGCTGCACCTGTCTGTGTGGGAAGTTTCTCAGGTAGTTACTCAAGAACCTGACCATCGTTCCCACCCCAGGGAAGGCTTAGGCTGTCAATGGAGCAGGTGGAAGTCTTTCTTGCTGACACAGTTTGAATTCCTCACCACAGTTGCGTGCTACCTCTTTAAATAATTATAAAAATACAACTGATAGTCAATTAGAACCCTAAATAGCAACAGAGTTAAGGAGAGAATAAATAGAATATATTAAAGTATATAGTATTATAAAATACTTTTTTTGTTGTTGTTGTTAGTCATGGGGCTTGAACGCTGGGCCTGAGCACTGTCCCTCAGCTCTTCAGCTCAAGGCAAGTGCTCTACCACTTAAGCTATAGCACCACTTCCATAAAATACTTTCAAGATAATATACTTACTATAAACACCCAAGTGTTTGTTTCTATAAGTACTCAAATAAAAAGATAGAGAACTAAAATTATCTTCAGAAAAAATAAACAATAAACTAAAGCCAAACAAATTAGTAAAAATTATTAGAAAAATAAACTGAAAAATGAGATACTGGTAGGGTGGCCTAAGTAGTGGCCCTGAATTCAAATTTTAGTATTGTCAAAAAAGGAAAAGAAAAAGGAAAGAAAAGCCTTACAATCCATAAATAAATTAATATTTGGGTCTTTCAAGAAATTAACAAAATTACTGGGTGTCAGTGCTTCATGCCTATAATCCACGAGGCTCAGGAGGCTGAGATCTAAGGATTATGGTTAGAAGCCAACCCAGGCTGGAAAGTCCATGAGACTCTTATCTGCAAGTAAGCTCCAGAAAAGCCAGAAGTAGGGCTGTGGCTCAAGTGTAGAGTGCTAGTCTTGAGCACATAGACAGAACTTGGTCCTGAGTTCAAGCTCCAACACACACACACACAACTCTCTCCTCTCTCTTTCTCCCCTCCCCCCTCTGAAAGTTAACAAGGTCAGTGTTTTCTTGACATAATTAATATAATTAAAACAAAGGAAGAAAAAAAATGAAACCAAGTCCCTCCCTCCCTTGCTGTGTACACAAAAGCATCTGGAATAAAGGATTTGATGGGAGAAAATCCAAACTTTAAAGA